GAAACCGATAAAATGTGGCCTCGTAAAAGTTACTATAACGTAAAAAAATGTCGCGCACTGAAACGTATGCGTGAGTTAAGCAGTGATTCAAGCAGTGATTCGAGTAGTAATTCCAGTAATGATTCCGGTTCAAAGTTGATATTAGCTAAAAATGAAGTTCTTGATAATACTGGCCAAGAAAGGTATTACTATAACTTTTATTTATCTAAAAAGCTTCCTATTCAAGGAAAAAATGTCTTCGTTCGTCTTATTACCATTATAAAAATATCTTAACATACTTTATTGATGCTATTTAAGAAAAAAATAGTATTAACACAGAAATTTGTTAGTCTTTGTTAAAATCGTTGATATATATTTTCATTTAACCTAAGCCTATAGTGCAGAGTCAATACTGGCACAATATCAATATTTTTACGAAAAAAATATTTACAGTGTTTAGCAGCTGTAAGATTGCAAAGCACGTTGCTTCTATTGTAAAGGATTATGAATTATTTCCTCACTTGTATCGGATACTCGTACCTAGTGGCGTCAATTCTGAAATAATACGGTTTTATTGAATTACGTGTGAGTTTATGAACGATCAACTTACAAATGATTTTACACCCAAAGGCTTTGATCGTACACGGCTTGTCCACAGAGATTTAAAAAAGTCTGACGAAAGATAGTCGAAACAATCATAAAAGCAAACCTCACTCTTTCAATGATGTAAATCAACTGCAGCATAAACATTTACCATCTAATGAATTTCTAATGAATTTCTAATGAATTTTACTTCTAATGAATCAATTCCGAAAAAACTTATTTTCCTCTGGCACTCAGTCAGTAAGTATAGCCAAATTAACGGCGATCCATACTATTTTTTTTCTAGGGTTTAAGTAAGGTCACCCATTAATTAGTATCAAGTATTTACTGTTTTTTCGAGGTTCTCTGTGTAATGATACACCAACCGATGTGAGAAGTCAATATATGAACATTTATGCAAAAGTGACTTTGATATTATTCTAGATTTTTTGTTAATAACAATGATTTTTTAAACAATAGATTTTTATGATAACTATACAAAAGTTATAAGAATAATTGACCATCCAAAATATTAATTAGTGATACTAATTCTATGACTAACTGGAACTCGTGAAGGTATTGTTTTTCCCTGAATAGTTGCAGTATTGATTCAAAAGTTGAATGTTATGAACGGTTGTAAGAACTAGATTTACACTCTAACACACTGTAAGAACCCATATAGAATGGTGTCACAAACGTCTTGAAAATTGCCACGTCATTTATCGCCTGAGACTCACTAGAAACACTCAGAATCATTTTCAGTTTTTCAAAAAGGTTTTGACCAATGAGCTTATTTTTTATTTTAAAAATTAAATGAAATTTAATCAATTACATATAAAAAAAATGTCCGAGTGCAATCAAACACCATTTTGGGTTCAACGTCTTATAAAATTACTTTTACTTTGCCCCTTGCAGATTTACTGATGAAGATACTCGCCATCTAGTGGTGTAAAATCACATTCGCGCAATCACATTAAAAACGATACATACGATGACTTTGAGGTTAAGAAACGTTGGTTAAAGATTCGATACTGCAAACGAAATTATTCATGCATTAAAAATATGCTGCAGCCATATATATTTGCAACAATCTTGAACACTACTTTTTTCGGGAACAAAAATAGAAATTTACCTCTTGATTCGAAAAATAAATTTCGTCCGACAAGCACAGCAGTTCCTTGTATACCATACACTTTTTTTTCTCGCGGCACTCATCGCTCGGTCCTTTGTGCTACTTTATTATATAAGCGTCAAAAGGTATACTACAGCTTTCTTTTTTAATTTTCGCGCGATGGTCATCCAAGCGCGATACGCGCGCGCGCGGCTGTATACAAGCCCGCAGCCGCGCTCTCACGTGTATAGAAAAATACCTTGAGAAGAGCTTTATTCGGAGATTACGAGTTTGTTGAAGAGTTTTAGAATTTCTCCCTTAGTCGCGCGCCACTTTGGCAAGTGATGCGACGAGCGAAGAGCTTTATTTTTACAACGGACTGGGCGCGCGCGCGCCCGCGCGTGTGGCTACGTTTTATATGTATATAAGCGCCGCCGAGAGCTCGTTTTGCTCGTTTTTTTATCGTATGATCGCAAACCATGGCTTCATAATACGCGGATAAAGGTGTTAAGGTTTTTCCCTTAGACGCTGTTCTCTCCCTTTCTCTCTTTACTTTATTCTCGCGCGAAAGTCTGGAGAGTATCAGGAAAATTAATTAAAAACTATACACAAAACCAATGAATTTTATCGTATTACCTCGAATAGGAAGGCAAGAAAAAGTTCAATTTGAGATATTGTCAGACCTTTTTTTACAAGCTCTAATAAACGGCGATTGTTATTGAGATATCATCTTTCGTCAAGGGCTTCGCCGTCCGAATGAAATCCAATATTCGAGAAATCATCCTCGCAACCCTGGATCGTGTAAGAAAATCATCTTTGAATTACAGCCGTATTATAAAAGAGTCGCAAAAAAGCTACATTCGAGAGTCTGCGAGTAAATTATATTTTTTTCTCCCGTCTTCCTCCTATATACCTTTGCACAGCTCGAAGGTCGCGAAATGGAAATGAAACAATCTTGTCCTCGTCATCAAACTTTTGTGCTTGGTCATAAAAATAACGATGACGCAGATTTCGACGGGTTTTGAGTACGAACTTTAGCAAAAGTACTTTCTCTCTTTCTTTCTGTCTCTCTCCGCGCATTGCAATGAAAAAAAAAGTGGCAAGTACCTACTCGCGCAGCTTCTCGTGGAGCTTTCAAAGAGAAAGGCAAAATGCGTAAATATATATCGTGCGCGTCGATCTTTAAGCGCCCGTCTGTTATTATCTGTAGCTCGGAATCTCGCTGCCTACGGATGAGACATTTGCATATTTCGCTCTCTAGCAGCTCGTGCGCAGAGAGAGATGTGTTTGCTCAATTATAGAAATATTTACCGCTGCACACGCGTTGTACGGCACTACTCTCGAGCCCGAGTCCTTTACGACTTTCAATCTGATAAGGGTGAGCTAAAGACTCAAGAGTTGGAGAGAAAGCGAGAGAGGGAGGGAGGAAAAAAAGCTGCTCTCAACGCACAAGGAGCTCAACTGCGATGTTCTTTAGAAAGATGATATATACTGATTATTATCGATCAAGCTGCGTTTAGCTCCCGCAACGAAGGGTGCTCGAGATTTCACTTCAATGCCCGCCATTTAGACCCGCAAGCGTCTTGGCGAAACTTTGTCGAATCCGTTACACGATAGAGAGAGGGAGAAAACTAAAATTTCAAAGTTGGATCTTTATTGAAACATTTGGTCTATGAGATTTTGAGTTGGTTTTTTTTTCGTTGGAATATTATTAAAAGATTTGCGGGAGGAGTTACACGAAAACTTTTCCGTTCTCTCGCTATCCGGCTAAAATAACTCTCGAAGCTAAAAATTGGAAAATCATGACGCATTAAGTTCAAATCGAAAGCAAAGAGGCGTCTATAGTGCTTCTCGTCGTCGTCGTCGTCGTTGGAATAACGTCAAACAAAATCAGCGATAAATGCAAAGTTGTCTCCTCGTTTTCGACGCGGTGCAAAAGTGCAGCTCACCACGCGACACACACACACACACACACACACACACACACACACACACGTATACATACGTATAAAATGACTGCGCGTCATGCACGTACAGCGCGAGGCTAATAAAACACGCGAAAAGTTATCGTTGCAAGTCAAATTGACCCGAAAATTGCTGTGGCGTACGATGTATGTGTCGAGCTTGGACAACTCTGAATTTTGGGGTTTACTCTTTTTTTTTTTTAAGCGAGCTCGCGCGTAAGGACTAATCCCTGCTATGTGCGTATCGCGCGAGGCTCAGAGAGAACACGCGGAGCTTTGGCATTTCGAATCTCTCTCTCTCTCTCTGACTGTGTCTCTTTTTCGTAATCCTATATGGTGGAAAGTTACGATTCGTGAGGTCTTGCTTCGCAAATACGCGGCCGAACGGATGAGCTTTCACACGGACAACTGCACGTATACGCAAATGTATATATCGCTGGCGAGAGGAAGAGGTCGAAAATCGAGGAATAAGAGAGACAACCAATCAAAAACCACGAGCTCATTAAGCTCGACCATTTTTGGGCTTTACGATACATGTGTAATGCTACGTGTCGCGCAGCGCAGGTATGGGCTCGAGATCGCAATTTTGACAACTGTATAACATACCGCGCGTATAGATCGTGTCCCTCCGGGGACGTCAAGCCGCAGGATCGTAGAGAAGCTCGAGCCGATTCTAGCTCGCTACCGCTGCTGCCGACGATAAAGGACTCGATGGTAGTTGTCGTCGACGATGAACTTCCTTTTTTTTTACAGGGTGATTTTCCGATCATCTGATTCGATGAGCGGTGTGGTACACGATAGGGTGACACGGTACTACAAAACTCCGTGGCCCACATAGCCTCGAGGACTTGTTTCACGTGGATATTATATGGAAATCCCATTCAAAGCTTTGGGGCTTCTTTCCTCCTTTTTTTTTCTTTTGTCTCTTTATCGCCGCTCGAATATCTTTCGGCACTTTTTGGGGGCGAACAGACGCGAGGGATCAATTTTTTTTCCTTGGGATTTTCAGCGGGTTATTTGGTATCGAGGGAATTGCCCGACGAATTGCGAGAGCTAGCTTGTAAAAGTCGCGCTCGCCTGGTTCACTTGCTTTTATTTTCCTGCGTGTATTCTTCGTCCGCGCGCGGCAGCTGACATCTAATTCGAAAAATCAATACATGTGTACTCTCGCGACGCGCGCGCAAATCGTTAGGATAAATACGTTCTATGGATCATATGATTTATATATTCAACGCCGTGACAAGACGAATCATCAGCGTCACGATGAAAGTCAAGACCTTTTTATTTTACAATTATTTTTAAACTTAAGCACATGTTTTAGTTAAGATTGATTATTAAAATGTTTCGTTTCTTGATTGTTATAGACAAACAACCGAAGAAATCATGCCTCTGTCGGAATTCCGCAAAAAGAAGCTGCTCTTCGTGTTCAACACATTTTTCGGTAAGTATCATTGACTTTTCTTAATAGACCTGCAGAGCCTCCTCGTGTCCCATGATACTTTTGAGGTACAAAAAAGTCACGTTAACGGACACCGACCCCAAAGACGGGACTTCTTTAGAATAATAAAGGTAGAAGCAAAAAAAAAGAGTAAGAAAAGGATTCAAGGACTTTTTGGATGAAGTGGAAAACGACTGTTCCATCGAGCAGGCTTAGGGCTTTGTTTCTAGACGTTTTTATCGAGGTAGCTCTCGGGGAACATATAAAGATCGCTGAAAAGAGACGATGCGGCACAGTCGCCTCGTCGTCGTCGTCATAGTCGTCGTCTGTGCCGAGGCCATAAAAAAGCGGCAGGTAAGAAGAGATAAAGATAAAGAAAGACGAGAATAAAGCCGCACGATGAGTCTTATGGAGCTTCGAAATTAATTTGCATACAGTTTTGAGGCGGAGAGTAGACGAGCGGAAAAGAAAAGCGTCCCGCTGAACTATAGCTCCGGGGGGAGTAAGTAAAGGAAGCGAAGCAAGAAAGGCCACGTGACGCGCGAGCGGCGGCAACGGCGGCGGCGGCGGCTGAGGGATAAAAATGACGAAAAACGCGCGCATACACACACACCCTGTTCTCGAAATAGCTCGAAACGTGGAAATGGCAATGCGGATAAAAGGACTCGATGAACCGGAAGGTTAAAAATGTTGTTTATAGGCCAGTATATGTGTGAGTCGCCACCCCCAACGCTACTGCTGCTGCTGTTACTGTTGCAAAGTTGAGCTGGAGAAAAGAAGACGATTTGTATTGTTCGAGAAATATATATTTCTTAAATGCGTCGCTTTTCCTAAAAGAGAGAGAGAGAAAGTATTGAATTTCAACGGACGTACAAAAAAAATCACCTCGATTCGTATAAGCGTATACGAATAGCGACTTTACCTATATATAGGTAAACGCACCGCGCATTCGCACCCGATGATTAATCTTTATACCTTGACTAACTCGGGGCTAGTTTTATATTCACGCTCGGTGTTACGTATATAAAACGAACCGATATACGGACGAAATTCGCGCGAATCTCGCAAGTGGATTAATACTTGGAGTCGGTTACACTTCGGCGCGCATACCACTTTTTATACTCTCGGTGTGGAGTAGATCTCGTTCGTACATAATAAATAATCCACTCGAGAAAAATAGAGGTCTCGAAATTGACGAAGGCGATAACTCGCAGAGAAATACGTGTAGGAAACATTAATGAACTTCGAATTAGCTTATATCGCAGATCGCTTCAACGAAGATTAATTTATCGTCGTCGTGGGGCACATTAATAAACGGAAAAATGATTTTCATAATGAAATTATCGAACGTCAAAAAAGTAACGTTCGATTTGGAGGAAAGAACCGAATAGACAATGCAACCTGTGTACGAGGCATCTTCGTGCTTTGTAATATATAATAGAGCAAGTGCAAGGCCGGTCGCACGCGTGACACACGGCTCCAATATATGAAACGTCCGGCGTGTACTCTAATAAAAAAAAAGAGAGAGAGCGAGGAAAAAAGCTACATCACGGCTGGATACTTCTCATTAACTCCCGCATCGTCACCTTTTCTTCCCTTTGACACACTGCGCTCTACATAGTACGTACACACACACACACACACATACACTCTAAACATAACTCGCGCCTCTCACTCTTTCTCTCCTTCTTTCTCTCTTTGGCCCTCAGAGAGAGAGAGAGAGAAAGAGAGTCGATGCGCGCGCACGTGTGTCATATTCATATAGACGCGATATCGTTTATACGTACGAGTGTGTGTGTGTGTTTGTGTGCATAGTGTGCAACTACATATAACGTGGCTAGCTCGCTCGTTCCGCGCAACCTTCGATCACGCGCGTTTAATACGATGCCTCCGTCCATATAACGCAAAGGATGTGTGCCATGTGTGCCGCCGCTGCCGCCTCCACCACCGCGTCTCTATACACAGATGCTGCATTAGCGTATGATTTGTGCGTTTTCCAATAATTAGGTTTAAAAGGCTAAGACATAAGATTTATTTTTCCAGATGCCGCTTCTAGGATATTTTTTTTGTTCGAGCGAGCCGACTGTAAAATTACGATTTATCATGGATATTAGCCATAGGTAGCAGGAGGAGAAAGTAGAGTAGACGACTCCTTTATTTCTTCGGATGATATTAGCATCGAGCTTGAATAAGCCAGCAGCAAGCCGTATTCATATTTCACCGTTTTATATCGTTCGCTCGATCCCGATTCAGGATTCTTTCAACTCGAGGATTCTTTTCTTTTTGACCATTGAAAAAATTTATTTCCCATCGTATCAAGTTGTAAAACGAGAAAATAGCTCCATACTTCGCGTGACTCGTCGCTTCGGCTGAGTATATGTATGTAGGCGAGCTCTTTTTTTCACCATTCAATTTAGATACACACAGCTTTCGCGCGAGAGAGAATTAAAAAAAAAATACTTCCACCTTCGGCGTAAAATATCGAATGACACGCGATGATATGAAAAACCCTGTATTTTTGTTAACGAAAAAATTTTGTGCAAATCATTTGTTTGACACGCGATACGCACGCGTATACGCGACTGTACGGAGCATTTACACGTTTCGCGTGTGCGTGCGTATTACCAGCGCGTTGAAGCTCTTTACATTTTTTCTCGTCGCTTATGCAAATTCTTTAATATTTAGCCCGACCTATATTCAATGTCAAAGCGAGGTGAAAAATTGATTTCCTTCTTTTTTTTTTTTTTTAATTTTTTCATCTTTTTTTCTCGTGTCGCGCGCTTGCGCACATCGATCGATATCGCTCTATGTGAACACGTCAAATTGTGATAACGTCGAGAAAGCATCGCTCAGCTTCAATTAATATTACAAGAATCAATGAAATCTCGCACCAGCGAATAAGTTGATAAATGTACTTTCTTTGAGCCGCGCGAAAAGAGCGACTATGACTAAAGGCAATCTCGAGGAAATCTTCCATTCAGTGGGGCGTACGTCGGACCGTTAGATTTTTGCCTGTGCTTCCGCGTATGATTTATATCCGCGCGTCAAATTATTTTCGTGTAAATTCACCCCCGTACAATTGGAAAGTAGAAAAAAAAATGTTACTGAAAAGAGCACAAAAAAAAAACAATTCGATTAAATATATTACGCACAAAAGTTATATCCAGTCGAGACTTTTCTTCTCTATGTCATACATGGTATATACGTATCTCAAGCTATATCATAAGGTAACTCACGTACAGGTAGCTGCAAACGCTTCTCGTTTGAGGGTCTTCGCTTTGCGCTCGGCTCGTGTCGTCGTCGTCACGATCGTACGCGCTACATAAAAGCTCGTCGCGCGAGCTTTAATATATGCGCTCGGACACAATATAGTCTCGCGCCGGAGCTTTATAATAGTTTATACGGCTACGCGCGATCGCTCACACAGGTACGCATACATATAATACATGCGCGACATAAAGGTCGTGTATGGAGCGCAGCGTGTGCGTACGTACAACTATATATTATTAATATCCCTCGATCAAGGTTGTGTGCGTCGAGCTCGTATCGATGCTGCTGCTGCTGCTGCACACTGCACACGGCCAGTAGTAGTGTAGCGGCGGGGGGGCCTGCTGCTGCATGTGCAGCGCGCGCGTTATTAAGCAAGCGCCTTACACAGTGAAAATAAATACATCAAAGTGATCGTTATGTCGTTGGAGATCGCTATAAAACGCGCGGGACATCCGTTATTGCCGTGCGCGCTCGCCGTATAAAGAAACTTTCGTCGTCGTCGTTGCAGCGCCTCGGGATATTTAATAGAGAGAAAGAGAGGGAGAATAAGAGATCGTTTTAATCCGTCGATTTTTCATTTTTATGCGCACCAGCAGGTGTGTAGGCTGAGCACGCCTAGTAGTAGTGTAATATTGTAATATACACTATAGTGCTGTTTTTCGGAGGGGCTTTGTGTTATTATATAATACGCGGGATCGCAGACTCGCATTCGTAATTAGTGTCGACGCGAGCGAGCAAGAGTAATATCTGTCCGTCACAACAATGAAGCGCACGAGTCCGGCTCGCACAAAGTTTTTAACAGAGTCGAGTCGCGAGCGAGCCAAGTTTACGGTTGAGATTTAAATCAAGATTTTGTTATATATACAAAGGGCAAAAACTTTACGTTCGCATCGTGGCCCTGTGCGCATCGTGTCTATATATAAACCCTAAACTTTTCCATTGCCGAAAGAAATTATGCGTGTGCAGGTATATGTATAATGTAATGCGCGCGGGCTGATAAAGGCACTCGCGCTACGCATTAAAAGCGGTATACACGAAATAATTACGCTCATATACCTGTATACTGCCAGTATATATAGTAAAGCACATTCGTGTGTTTGTATGTATGTGTGTGCGTGCGTGTGTGTGTGTGTGTGTGTGTGTGTGTGTGGGGGTCAATTTGTCGCGTTGAGGCAGCGAATCAGCGACTCGGAAATCAACATATTCACCATGAGAATAATTAATCTCATCGCCGAGGGACGAGTTATTGCGCCTGTGTATATTTACGCGCGTGTTTGTGTACGTCTCTGTGCGCGTGTATGTCCGCATGTATACGCGGTAGCAGCTACAAAGTGCATACGTCATACACAGGCACACTCACTTTCGAGTTATACGCGCTATACAGGTTACAACATTAACGAGACTCGTCGCGGACGTCTATGTATTATGCATCTTAACAGAGGCTACTACCGCTGCTGCTGCTGCACCTCGTGCGGACTCAACGTTGTCGTTTGCAGCTTGCGTACAATATATACAGATATATGGACATAAAGGAGCCCTCGGTAATGGCTTGGGGATACTCCAGAGTGGTTGGTGTGTGTTTGTGCGTTTGTGTGTTGGCGTATTTGTGCGCAGGGCCGTGCAGCGATATAGGTCCCCCCGTCACCGCCGCTGCTGCTCTCGTACCTCTTAGTGCACACGAAGCACGTGCTCTCTCCTATACAGCGAAGCACTAAGACTCGGCTCGGCTCGGCTCTCCTGCTTTTCCCGGCATCTTTCGCTCCCGAGATTTACGAGTGTGGCGTGAGCAGAAAAAACTCTCGAGCTTGCACAGCAGCAGCAGCAACGGCGGCGGTGCTGGCGGGCGACTTTTTCAATTTTTATCGTTTCTTTTGACTCGTAGCAAGGAAGAGAGAGGTAGAGAGAAGACCACGTGCTCTCGACACAGACATCTCTCTTTCTATCTCTGGCTCTGGCGATGTGCTGCGCAGCACAAGCTAAAAACTGGATAGTAATAAAGCTCAACGATGCACTGGTCCCGGCTTATATCTCTATGTATACATGTAGGTGAACTAGGCAGAAGTTAAAGCTTTTAAATTGAGGCTCTTTCGACTGCACAGAGAAAGAGAGAGAAAAACTGAAGCTGCTGCCGAGCTCTGATTCTTTATTGTTGTGTTGCTTTATGGCCTTTGAGTGGTATGTGTATGTGTGTTATGTATGTGTGCAGCAGCAGCTCGATAGCTGCGTGTTTGCAGAAAAGCTCGGAAATGAATAGGCCTTCAAGCATCATCTTCATGCGGCGAATCAACTGTTTTCAATGCCTACGTGTAGCTAACACTCCAAAAAGCAAAAATATCACGCGAAACGATTGCAATTATCCTAATTAGCGACGATAATGAAGTCCATTATGATTCATATATTCCATATCTCGCACATCGAGCACTCACACATCGCGAACAATCGCATAAGCAACTAAGATAATTTTCAAATTGCAGATGTCAATCAGAGCGGCTCGATCGACATTAAGGATTTCGATCTTGCAGTGCAGGTATGGAGCAATACATGTTCACAATACATATTACGACATAATAATAATCAAAGATGATGATCGACGATCGTCGTCGTCGTTGTTGTCATTGTTACGTGGCTTTGTACACCGAGAGCTAATTAATTGTCTTTTCTTTTTCTTTCTCTGGCACCGACCACCAACACTACGCTGCCCCGCCACTGCAGAAAATCTGCGAGGCTCGAGGATGGAACGCCAGTCATCCGCGATTTCAACAAACAAAGGACACCATGAACAAAGTCTGGGACGGACTGCAAAAACGAGCCGACGCTGACAATGATGGACAGGTGATATTGTTATCGGGAGATTTCTTGCTTCTCTCTTTACTTTTTTTTTCTCACTCTCTGTGTTTTTTCCTCTCCTCTCCTTTTTAATTCGCATCATTGTATAGTCGTGGCATTGCGCTATATATCTCGGATAATTATTGTACCGCGCGCAGTCGAGGTCTCGTTGTTTATACACGGTTAAAACAATTGCATCTGCGCGATAGCGTCACTATCCGCGTCTATATAATGCGTGGTATAATATAAGCAGCGATACAGATAATGGCATAGATTTCCGATAGCGACGAAACTTGAATGAATTAAATGGACCGAAAGTACATAATGTAATAAAGTTTGTTCTCTCTCTCTTTCTCTCGTGCTCAAATATATAACTACTGTATGTATAAAGAGAGACGTCGACGACGTTCGAGTGCGCGTACGGGGATATGAATGAATGATATCGCCTGCAGCTATATCACCGAGCTAATTAAACAATGCCAGTATATTCTCGACTTTCTCTCTGACTATCGTTTCTATTTAACGTTTCTATCGCTATATATTTGCTTGAAAAAAAAACCAATACGATCGCCACCGAGCAGCAAATTTGCGAGTTAACATTTTAATGGCAAAGATATTCGATAACGATCGAAAATCGTGGCATCACTCGGTGCGAGCAGTAGCCAAACGAGAAAGAAATAGTTATCCCGAACTCAACTTTTCGAAGGGCAAGCGAGGAGTACTCGGATACATTATTACAACTTTTTGAGAGCGGAGTACGAAAAAAAAAATAAAGAAAATATCTTTTGCGCGCGCGAAAAGTTTGGAAAGACACTAACGTCTTTATCACGCTGTTGTCTCGTAAATTTCCATTTCCCGCGCACAGGGCGAAAAAATGTCGTTCTCGCGAGCGGCCGTGTACTCTCCACGGGCTTAAAAACAATTTACTGGATGCGCGCGTCTGTTCTGTCCGTGCATGCGAGCTCGTGTCTCTCTACGTACACACATACGCGCGAGGAAAACGACACGGAGCTAGTGGTGTATCGCAATGCGGCATCGTGTCGCGCGTATCGGTAAACTTCGTTGCTCAGCCTATAATATATATGACACGTTGGTCGACCACCACCACTCCTAGAAGAAAGTAGGCGTATATAAATAACGTCAAAAAATATAATCCGGTTCAAGGGTCATTTCTGGGAAATGCGAAAAAAAACCACGACGCTTCGGTATCTCGAGGCAATAAAACGATGCCTCAGATTTTCGTGCCTTCGTCATATTTTTTCTTTTTTTTTTATGTCGTTTGCATTGTATTCTCTTTACGAGGAAGGAGAATTAAAAACCATATTGAAACAATTTAACGACGCATTCATTGCTGACTTTTTTTTTTTTCCTCCGCAGATCAGCCGCGAGGAATGGTACTCGATGTGGGATGAATTCGCCAAGAACCCGGAGAACCCACTCGAGTGGCAGCGGACTTACATGGATCTTGTCTTCGACGTCGAAGATGTCTCTGGTAATGTGTGAATTAATTCAACCGTAGCGATCGTTTTTTCGAATTTAAATATAGTTTTATCGTGGTTTCAATAAGCTAAATCAAGTATTATGATACTTGAAATTATTACCGTGGAAAGCACGCGAGATCTCTAGAGCTGCAAGCCCGGCTAAAGACAATCTTTTGTATTTTCAAATTGATTCATGTAGCGACTTATGCTATCGTACACGTTAATGCTGATTTACGACTAGCACGTATAAGATAAGTTGCGCTGCAAAGGGCCGCAAATATACGATATTTCGTACTTTCTTCGGCTAAGCGTGTACATTTTTTTTTGTTTTATAAATTCGACTAATCTGACCAATATCCTCTTGTGTGTTTCTGCGCTCGCAGGTGATGGATCAATCGACGAGACGGAATTCAGCCAAGTATGCACGACCTACGGCGTCGTCGAGAGCGAGTCGCGAGAGGCATTCAAGAAACTCGAAGTCGTAAGTTACGAATTTCCCATCTCTCTCGTAAACGTAGTGCTTGTATAAACGCGAATATCACTCGATTACCTCGTATACTAAAACGAAGTATGTACTATATATTGTATATTCTTGTATCGCAGGGCGACGAGGTGACGCGCGAAAAGTTCGAGAAACTTTGGAAGCAATTCTTCTCGACGGATGACCCGACTCTGCCAGGCAACTTCATATTCGGAAAAACGTCCTACTAAGCGCTTTATATACTCTCTGTCGTCTCACTCTCTTCGGTGTATCACACAAGCAGCGCACGCAAAAAAAAGAGCAGAGCCGAGCTAGGCGCGCGCGCGTTGCAGAGTGAGCCCCGCCAACGTTTCATCCGTTACTGTGTGCTGTACCTGCGGCTCTGCGCCAAGGCGGACGTGAATTATTCATAAAAACTTTGCTGGGACAGCTAGACAACAAGAATAAAAAAAAAGTAAATAAATAAAAAAAAAAAATTATAAAGTAATAATTACCAAACACTACGCAAACAAAAAACTAATACAATAGATGTATGCATAAAATTGGACGTGATAATAGAAAATTCGAAATGATGATTGAGACGCTGTTGAGCGCCGAAAGCGCAAATAGGGGGTGTTGTCGGCGATGTAGTACAATCACTTTCGACGCTCTCCGCAGTTATAATCGTTGTTTTATCTCAAAGTATTATTTAGCCCTTTAAGCCTGATTTTAATGGTAGCTTTGTATTTCGTCAATGTAAATGAACTTACATGATTTTAATGATTTATGATTACTTCAGAGAAAAATCAATATTATACGATGAAGCTTAAAGTTGTTGCTTTTTCAAAATTTTAACAGAGAGTTACACTACTGAAAATAAATTGATGAATTCAAAAATAATATTTTTCGAGGCATTGGAAGAAAAAATGTAAAATTAAGATTAAAATATCGATGCGAATCTATTCAATGATTAATAAATAATTGAAAATACTTCATTGTGAAAGTAGATACTAAATAACCATCTGGAATATTGGAAAGTATACAAGAAAATAACTACTGTGTCAACTATAAATTACACAGCTCTACAAAAAAAAAAAAATTTTCAAATCCACCGACCGGACCTAGTGGACTTTATGTTTTTGGGGTCGCTGAATCCGAATCCGGGGTCGGTTTTTCAAGGTTGGCTCATTTTAGAGGTCATTTGAAGGTCAAATAATTGGAAAAGGGTAAAAAATCTGAAAAAATTCATACATGGGTTTTTGAGGATGCTGAATCCAAATCCGAGGTCGGATGACCTGTAGGAGGTCACTTTCAAGGTCATTTGAAGGTCAAACTACAAGAATTCAATGAAAATATCCGAAAAAATCACCCTCATGTTTTGAGGGTCGCTCATTCTAAATCAGAGGTCATTTTGACTGTATCCGGCCTTGTAAAGGTCATTTGAAGGTCATTTTAGGGTCAGATCACGAAAAAAGCTTAAAAAAATCTGAAAATACTCATTCAGAGGTTTTTAAGGATGCTGAACTCAAATCTGAAGTCAGATGACCTCTATGAAGTCACCTTCAAGGTCATTTAAACTTTAAATTAATACAAGGAAGTAAAAAATTAAGAAAATATTTTTAATTTTGCATGCGTTTTTACTTTTTTTTCGCAACGCATCTTTTTTTCTTCAAACGAACGGCGTAATGGTTTTCGTTTGCGTTTTTTGCCTTTCTCATTTTGACTCTCTCTCTTCAACATCCAGCAGTAATCAGCCATCATCGAAACATCCTATCTACCTAATTGATACCGCTGCTCCATACTTTTCATGTCTTGATAGAATCGTTCTCCATGCTCGTCACTAAAATCACCACAGTTATCCGGAAACTCATCTGAATGGTTATGTAAGAAATGCAGTTTATAAGACATATTACATTTCATTTCACCGACATCAAACTTATCGAGGCAGCAGGTAAAGACTAGAAGAGAAAAAAGTGTGTCAGAATGAGAGTAAGTTAACAGAACCGCATATTTCTCCATATCAATATCACGAACGAAAACGGTGCATTAATATGAAAAAATATGCCGATTTGTCAATTCACTCCCCATGCCGATCCACCTGGCTCATCTCTACTTTGTCATAAGGATATACTTATAGTGAATTTATTTTTACACTCTCAGACATTGTTTCACAAAATTTTAAAATGCATTCGTTTTAATCGAAGAAAAATCCATTGATGAAGAATTTTTCAAATTTTGTGACCCAATTCTATAGTAAAAAATAAAATAGCCTATATTATATTCACATATAAAGAAGTCCTATAAAAAATTTACCTGAAGCTATGTCAACAAAATTAAGGTAAATTTTATAATAACGGAAGTAAAAATTGATTGTTAAAAAATAAAGAGATTTTTTTGGTTGCTTTACTGCGGGGAAATAGCTTAGAAAAAATGTATTATATTTATTGAGTAGGGAAAAAAGCAGCTCTATCCCAGAATGTGAGCTCGCTAAATGTCTCAGACTAAAAAATTAATTCAGTTTTAAAAAACTAAGCACAAACTTCTTCCAATATTTTATCGCATTAAATAAATTTAACATTGAAATGACCTTGAAGGTGACTTCATAGAGGTCATCTGACTTCAGATTTGAGTTCAGCATCCTTAAAAACCTGAGAATGAGTATTTTCAGATTTTTTAAAGCTTTTTTCGTGATCTGACCCTAAAATAACCTTCAAATGACCTTTACAAGGCCGGATTCAGTCAAAATGACCTCTGATTTAGAATGAGCGACCCTCAAAACAAAAGGGTGATTTTTTCGGATATTTTCATTGAATTCTTGTAGTTTGACCTTCAAATGACCTTGAAATTGACCTCCTAAAGGTCATCCGACCTCGGATTTGGATTCGGCATCCTCAAAAACCCATGTATGAATTTTTTCAGATTTTTTACCCTTTTCCAATTATTTGACCTTCAAATGACCTCTAAAATGAGCCAACCTTGAAAAACCGACCCCGGATTCGGATTCAGCGACCCCAAAAACATAAAGTCCACTAGGTCCGGTCGGTGGATTTGAAAATTTTTTTTTTTTTGTAGAGCTGTGTTATCGTTGTCTTTAAAATGAATGTTATGAAAAAAATATATAATATATGTAATATATCGATATAAACACGTAAATTTCTTCGTTGGATAATAAATTTTAATGTAACATACAACATTTTACCTCGAACCTCGAGTATTTAGAGCATAAGTGAATATGTTTGAAAGAAAAAAGAGAGTAAGCTATATACGATTTCTTCTCCTGCAATTTTACCTTGAGTTTTGAGCTTAATAGCTGAATTGAAGAAGAACATTCCACATTGAATGTCGAAGTCTCGTCAGATTTTATCACCGGTGCTTAGAAACGTCGATCACTGCCCGAGTCGCAGGTTCCGATGAAAAAATATCAGTTCTGTTGATCCTATGCCATAAATTTTATTCGTCGTACAAAAGACGCGATAAAAGATCGAAACTTTGCTGAAATCATTACCTTATAATCCAAAGAAAAAAGTTTTAAAATATTTAAGTGGAAAATAGTGAATTAGAGTGGTCTTAGATTTCTCTATTCATTAGTAAATTATAGATTAAAATTACTTTGCTAACTGTAGCTAAAAGTCATATTAGAACTTTTATTAGTTGGGCGAAGTTGGTGCTTCTGATATAATTTTGGTTAGATCTAACATTATCATTTATTAAATAGACATAATAGCGACCTTTTCCATGCCCATTAAACTTATTTGATCTGTCTACAGAAAATTTAAAATCTCATTGTATTTTTATCGTAAAACAATTTGATTAAATTGTGAATTTATTTGTATTTATCTTCTATGAAAACAGAAATTAGATAATTATGCCATAAAAAATTTGTTAATTTTCGAACAAAAAATTTTTCTCAGTGACATTTGTTTTGCTTGAATAATTTCATTTTGTTTGGTTAATTTCTTCCTCGCTAATTTATTAAAACAATACAAAATTAATACAGTTATTGTTGATTACGATTATTTATTATTAATTTGAATTTAAGCGTTGAGCGCTGTGTCTTCACTGTCCTATGTCTATGGAAAATTTTGATGTCTCTTGCGTATTCAATTTTTCATCGTACCCATAAATGTGCATTGATGTAATAAATTTTATGTATAATGCATTAAAATTAAATTATGAGTACACGTGAAATTATGTAGAACATTGTTTGAAATGTGAAATAATTTATTGGATCAAATAAAATATATGACTGTTCCTAATACATCTTGATATTACATTTACTTAAAAATATACGAAAAATTTTAATAAATTGGTTTTAAGAAATTATCAACACTTTCCTTGTAGAATTGTTCAACATTATGACCAAAAAATAACTATTTAAAATGTTTTAAAATTAATTTACATTAACTGACTTATTTTTTATGATATTTCTGTTACAATTATATTAAAAACATTAAAGGCATTTTTAATGTCCTGAAAATGATAATTTAACTGTATTGAACTATTACTTTATGCATCCGCCATTAGATGGCCAGTACCTTTATCTGTAAATCTGCAAGTTGATAAGTAAAAATAATCATATAATACTCTGAATATTGCACGTTATGGTCAAATATTCCAATTTTGTAAAGTACAATTTTGTTATGAGCCGCTTAAACTTACACCTGTCCAATAGCACTGTCTATATCAATTTCTTACATTCAGTATCTGGTTTCTAACAAGGAGACCACCCCAGCTCCGGGTCATGGATTTGCTCCAAAATTTTTTTGGGGTCTCCTGGTACCCAATACTGAAGCTCCCTGTGCTTAGTTTGATCTCATGGGCCTTTGGGCCCATTTTTAAGAGGATTTTCCACATTATGAAAAAATCTTTGTTATTTTCTATATCGATATAGAAGTACTTAAATGAAAAAATGCGACGATAAAAAGTTTTAAAATTTTTCAAAGAATCTGCTTGAATTTTTCCATAATTTTTGGGACCATCTATCACTTAATTCAAGAGGCCTAAATTTGACGCTTTTTTCAATAGATTTTAGGACTTCTTAAAGAGAGTGATAGATGGCCCCGAAAATTCTGAAAAAATTCAAGCAGATTCTTTGAAAAATTTTGAAACTTTTTATCGTCACATTTTTTTCATTTAAGTACTTCTATATCGATATAGAAAATAACAAAGATTTTTTCATGATGTGGAAAATCCTCTTAAAAATGGGCCCTAAGGCCCATGAGATCAAACTAAGCACAGGGAGCTTTAGTATTGGGTACCAGGAGACCCCAAAAAAATTTTGGAGCAAATCCATGACCCGGAGCTGGGGTGGTCTCCTTGTAAGTATAAGATTAGCGTGCAATTATAGCTCACTAATCCTAAATTTTGGTCATCGACAGACACACAGAATTCATTTTTGAGCACGATAAGAGTCAAGAATCAAGAAAAATTAAAAAAAACCATGTTTCTGGGCTCATATATAGCTCAGTAATGAATTCCGTTTGTCGCCGATGACCAA